ACCAGAACATATTTATGTAAAAAAAGTCTAACTCAACTTTATTATTTATTAATTCATAGTTATCTAAATTATGCTAATGTTGCATAATTTAAATAACTGAAACCACTGAAAGACGAAATATCTTTATTGCCGTCAGAAACATGCGTTCCATTTAATCCGTTTAATGCGTATGCGGTTCGATAAACTCATTTCAACCCATTTTTTAATGAAATGAAAGTTCTCAATATTTATGAGCTTAATGTTTTGTGCTTTATGTGAAAAAATGACATATCTTTACTCATTTTCAAAGATCTCTTTTATTTGAAACCAATAAATAATTATACACGTAGAAGTTATAGATTAGTTTTATATATGAACCCTTTTGTCTAACCAAGTTTAATCTGTTATATATTAAACTTGGATAGACAAAACTTAGAAATAAAATTTTTTGTCCAATTTTGATATTTATTTTACTTTTCCCATTTTCAAATATAAACTAAAAAATGAAATTATCCTAATGGATGATGTACTCAGGTTTTTTTAATTTTTTAATTTTATTTTTTTAATTGTAATTTTATTTTTTTAATTGTAATTTTATTTTTTTAATTGTAATTTTATTTTTTTAATTGTAATTTTATTTTTTTAATTGAAATTTTATATTTTCTTTAGAACTTTTATTGTTAAATACGTTTTATTTTGTTGATTATGTTTTGACGTAGTTTATGTAGACACGCTTGTAAAAGGTTATGAAGATAAGATCAGTACAACCTTTTTTCAGAAACCTTGTTTTTGTTTGTGAAAGTAATTTATTTACTACGACAGCAAATGTATACTGAAAAAAAAAATTAATAATAATAATAATAAATTAAAAAAAAAAAAAAAAGTTTGCAGGGAAGTAAAATAAATCTTAGAGACGCATTAATTTAATATCGATAAATATAATGTAAAATTTAGTGAACTCGCAAAATAAAAAAAATTAAAAAAAGAAACATGTTGCCACATATTCCGCTCCGGGTCAAGTTGCAACATTTGATTTAAGAAGGTTTTCCGATCTCGTACTATTTTAGATTGTTCATATACCTCTTAGTTTACAAGACGAGTTTGAAAACTCAAATAATAATTTTGTAATGAACAATATTTATTTTTTATAGATATATATTAAATATAAATTTTTTTTTAGCTAATTTTTTATTATTATAGTTACATAATGTAAACTTTTTAGGGAATAATAAATAAAAACAATCCCTTATAAGACACTGTTGCAACCCCCTCCCTGTTGCAATTAAATACGGTTTTCTCTAAACCCCTAACTTTTGTGATGTTTTCTGGTTGCAATGTAAAGTGCTAATAATTTGAAATATTTCGTTAATACAAAAAAACTAATTATAACAATTATAAAAACAAAAATAATTGCATTAGAAGTGGCTTATTCTTTTTAACATATCCGATGATTTATTTTACTTTGGTTACATCTTATATAACATATGTGATGTAACCAAAGCTAACTTATTTATGTAATGTAACACCACATATGTTACCTTGCAATTTTATAAAGGATTTCCTTCAAAATCTATTAATATCGCTGCAATAAAGAATACTTGTGAGTTAATATTTTACAGAAAACCGGTCTATTGTTTACTGTAGGTTAAAAGCTAACCCGACCAGTCTATAGTCAATAAAGTAAAAATAAATCAGAAGCCGCAACAAAAAGAAACTTTCCTCTTGTAAAAATTTCGTTACTATATAAAAAAAAGTCCTTTTATATTTTAAATTTTATTCCTTTTATATTGTTGATTATGTTTTTACGTATTTTGTAAAAGGTTCTGAAGATAAGATCAGTACGATCTTCTTTCGGAAACCTTGTTTTGTGTTTGTGAAGGTAATTGTGTTTGTGAAGGAAATTTATTTACTAAGACAACATACGTAAACTAAAAAAAAATAGCTCTATTTATTAATAATTATGATTTTAACGTAATAATTAAAAAATTATAATAATAATAAAAATAAAACGTGGATAAATTTTTTTTTCCTTAATTTCTTTTAAGGACTTGGGCTAGTCAAAACACGTTTTCAAAAACTGTATATATTTCCGTTACTTCGATTTCTTTAAATTTGCAGGGAAGTAAAATAAATCTTAGAGACGTATTAATCTAATGTCGATAGACATAATGTTAAATTTAGTGAACTCAAAAAATAAAAGAAGAAAAAAAAGAAATATGTTGCCACATATTCCACTATGTCAAGTTGCAACATTTTGGTGATTTAAAAAGGTTCTCCAATCTCTCACTATTTTAGATTGTTCATATACCTCTTAAGTTACAATACGAGTTAGAAAACTCAAATAAGATTTTTGTTATGAAAAATATTTATTTTTAATATATATATATATATATATATATATATATATATATATATATATATATATATATATATATATATATATATATATATATATATATATATATATATATATATATATATATATAATAAAACAATTTTTTAAGTTCAATTTTTAACATTATAGTTTAATAATGTAAACTTTTTAGGTAATAATAAATAAAAACTATCCCTTATAAGACACTGTTGCAACCCCCTCCCTGTTGCAACTCTGGTCTTCTCTACACCCCTAACTTTTGTGATGTTTTCTGCAATATAAAGTGTTAATAATTTGAAATATTTCGTTAATACAAAAAAACTAGTTATAACAATTATAAAAACAAAAATAATTGCATTAGAAGTGGCTTATTCTTTTTAACATATCCGATGGTTATTTTACTTTGGTTACATCACATATAACATTTGTGATCTAACCAAAGCTAACTTATACATTTAAGGTTACACCACATATGTTACCTTGCAATTTAATAAAGGATTTTCTGCAAAATTTGGTAATATCGCAGCAACAACGAATACTTGTGAGTTAATATTTTATAGAAAACCGGTCTATTGTTCACTATAGGTTAAAAGCTAACCCGACCAGTCGATAGTCGATAAAGTAAAAATAAATCAGAAATTGTAACAAAAAGAAACTTTCCTATTCTAAAAAATTTATTACTGCATAAAAAAAAGTTTTTCTTTTAAAGTATTTAAAAACCCTATTGTTGCATAAAAGTAATATGTATTTTGTAACAATAATACCTTTGACAAAAAAGCGTCGGAACTTTTAATTTGCATAAGATAAAAACGCTCAACCTAAGTATCGTTATTTTCAATATTACCTAACAAATATTACCCTTTCTTAAATATTATCCACAGTACAATATTATAATAATAAAAAAAATATAATATTGGTGTTTTCACAATATAAAAGATTGATTTAACATCAATTGTGCTAAATTCATATATCACTTCATTTTTGTGATTTTCAAGACGTCGTTGTCTCATCCATTCCTTTATTTATGTTTAATTGATTGCTTTTATAGCTGCAGTTGTTGGTTTGAGATTAAATCTTGAAATTGATATGTTGTTTATTGCGATTATAAATGATATTTAAACAAACTTTTTTTATTGATTAAATAAATTAAAAACAAACTTAGTTTTTTAAGCACAATATAAAGAATTTAAGTAAAAAATTTCATTTACTCAAAGTGAGGAAATTGTAATTCACTACAAATAAACTTTTTTATCATCTCCTTTTGTAATGAAACAAAATTAATTGTTAAATAGTGTTAAATAATGGTATTTATAACCACGTTTAAAAATATTTGAAAAATTTAAGTTTATCATCAAGTCATCAAATCATCAGTAAACAATTAGAACAAATTGGACACTCTTCTGAAGGCTGCTATAATCCTAAACAGGCTTTGTTGCTTGGTAACCCTGCATGTCAAAAAACCAAAGAAATTGTTATATTATTTAAAACTTAAAACGAAATAAATTGTAATGCACTGCTGTATAAACAGCAGTGCTTTCCAGGGCTGGGCTACGTTTTTGTTGAAAATGTTGCGCCTTTATATGCAGCATTCTCTATATCTCTTTTGCGCTTCAATATACAGCTTTTGTAGGACTCTTCTTGGTGGAATAAATACTCGTGAAACATTCAGAAAAAAAATTAAAAATTTTTTTTTTATAAATCTGATTCTGTTTTAAACTTTTGCTTAAGGCCTCTTTGTGAATGTCTTCTTTTGAGCAATAATATTTATAAGTTGCTGTTCTTGTTGTTTTATGACAAAATTTTAAGCTCACCGAGCAATACTTTTACTCTTCTTTAAACCTTTTCTAATGTGTTAACTTCCTTCTCCATATTATCGGTATACAACGTTATACCAGGAAGGAACTCAAGCAGCAAAATCATGTAATTTAAATATACAAGTATTAGTTCATTTAAAATTACTGAATAATATAGTATCAATATTAAAATTTCCAACCTAAATTTGTTATGAGGGTGAGGGGGTAGAGATGGTGGCGAAGTTTTAGCTCATATTAGCGGACTGATTTTAACCCAGGTCATATAAATTGCCTTTCAAGTCTAAGCTTATAAAGTTTTGCTCACATGCGTCAACTTAACAAATAACTTTTTGAAAGAAGATAAAAAATAACTTTTTGAAAAGCAGTAAAATAGAATATTGTAAAGTATAAACAAATAAAGTTGTTTATAGTATAACATTTTAAATTTGTAGTTAACGTTTTTACTTGTTTTAGTTAAGCAAGTTTTATTCGATTATGTTCGACTCGTTTCTTACCAATAACTAATTGCATATTTAAATATTTTTTTATCGAACAGACAAATTCAATTCTATTTCCGTATTGGAACAGAAATTGAATGGTTAAGTATAGCAAAATAATTTTCTGTCAAATTTCATGCAATACAATTATATACAATATTTCATTAAGTCGCGTTATTATATTATTATGCAATAAAGAAACGTAGTTTTTATTATTATTATCATTCCATTAATTAGATTAAAAAAGATATTGATACGAAATATTATATAAATAATAGAATTGTATATTGTAACTAAAATTGACGAACAAAAGGCAACCATAGTAACCAATTTAGTATATAATAACAACTAAAAAGTCAGTTCTTCACAATCTACATTGCTAACTTTGAAGATGGCAAAAGGAGTAACACTTGCAATTATTTTTGCTTTAATTTTTGGAGCTGCTGGAAAGTATACGTTTTGTAATAGTAAAGTTATTTTTTTTCAAATGACATGGGGTAGAAACTTTCACTCAGTCATTGTATAACTATTAACATCATTTAAACGCTACGTCAACTTGTTCTGTGTTGCTTCTATGTCTTTTTTCGGAAATATATATAAAAATATAATTATAAGTATAAATTTATATATATATATATATATACATATATATATATATATATATATATATATATATATATATATATATATATATATATATATATATATATATATATATATATATATATATATATATATATATATATATATAGTAGTGCTGTTAGTGACCCTTCCCTGCGTTTTTTGACACTGAGATTTTTAGAGAGTTAAAAGCTTTATTTTTAAAAAGTACAGAAACAATTACAATAAACATTCATATAATAGTATCAAATATTTAAATAAATAGTTTAGCTTTTTAGTTAATTACAAGTTATTTTAGAAAAGTTATTCCGTTTCTAAGAAATTCGTCAACTTTAGAGTTGCATTAATGACACTTGCTATCGCAACTTGCTATTGCAACTTGTAGTAATTAATTTGTATTTTTCTAACCCGTGCGATAGCAAAATAAACTTTACTTAAAAAATATAAGTTTTAGCAGTATTTTTGTTTTTTAAGTAATACTTTATATATCCTTTTAATCATATATAAACAATTGTTTAAAGAATTGTTTAAACAGTTCATGCATTATCACCCAAGTAAGTCACGCACGGAAGTTACAAACTTATCAAGTTTTTGTAAATATTTTTATGATAATAAATTGCTTACAAAAAGATTACAAAAAGATATATATTTTTTTATGAATAATGATAACTTCGTCTTTCCTCTCAAAGAATATGAATAAGTAGTTCATTTAAAAAAAAATCTTTATACCAAAAATTGCGTTTTCTTTAACACACCCAATCTTTTCTTCTTAGGAAACCAGTTTCCTAAGATGAGCTTTTTTTAATGGAACTTAAAAAAATAAGAAAAAAATAATCACAAAAAAAAAATTAAATAAAATTTTACCTTAAAGGATTATACTTAGACAAAAAGTAATTATCTCAACCATAAAAAAAAACAATAATAAATCTTTCTAATCTCTAAAAAAGTTAACGATACTTTTTTTTGAAAAAACTTTCGCTCTTGAAATACCAAAATAAGAATAACTTAAAAAAAACGCGTTTTTCCTAATAAAAAGCCGCATCTCATCTTGAGCGTCGAAAAAAGTATAACCTTTAGCAACTTCACCAAGAACCATCATAGTTTAAATAACATGACAACAGCTTATGTATTGTCTCAAGTAACCCACGAAATTAGTAGTAGATAAGCATAAAATATTGAGGATGTAATAAATTTTTGATGATCCTGTTTCGTTCTGACGTAATTACAAAATATTGAATAATAAAAAATTATAACGGGGATGGTAAATTTTTTTAACAGTAAAACAATTAAAGAATATTAACTAAACAACCAAAAAATTAAAATAAATAACACTTGCTAACTGCTGTAACTGAAAGATTTTATCGTGCATTAGATGGAGGCGATGAGGCTAGGGTATTTGCTCTCGACATATCTAAAGCTTTCGACAAAGTTTAGCATGCTGGTCTTCTCAATAAGCTTGCTTCATATGGTGTTTCTGGGAAAGTTTTTGAGATTATAAAATTATTTCTTTCTAACCGGTTTATTAAAGTCATCCTTGAAGGCCAACACTCTTCTTTATTTCCAGTAACTTCTGGGGTTCCCCAAGGTTCCATCCTGGGTCCTGTTTTGTTTCTTATCTACATAAACAATCTTCCTGACAACCTTTAATCTAAAATAGCTCTTTTTGCTGATGACTCAACTTTATACTCCTGTCTTGACAACAAGTCTTCTCTTTTCAATCGCCTAGAACAAGCTGCTGATCTTGAATCAGATCTCACTTCAGTAATAGATTGGGGTTTACAATGGCTTGTGAATTTCAACTCTAACAAAACCGAGTTGTTTACTGCAAACAACTACCGTAATATGGTCAACATTCCTATATTAATGAATGGCAATCCTCTTACTGAGTCCTCCTCTTTACGTCTTCTTGGATTATCGCTTACTACTGATCTTTCATGGAAACCATATATACAATCGATTGCTAAATTAGCTTCTGCTAAGGCTGCTTCTCTTTATCGTGCTCGCCATTTCCTTACTTTTGATTCCATTCTCTACCTCTACAAATCTCTTATTCGTCCCTGTATGGAATACTGTTGTCATATTTGGGCTGGTTCTTCTAACGATTCACTTTCTCTTCTTGACAAGGTCCAAAAACGCATTGTAAATGTTGTTGGACCTGGACTAACTGCTAAGCTTGAGCCTCTTTCCCATCGTCGTAAAATCTGCAAATACTATTATGGTCACTGCTCAAAGGAGTTATCATCTCTAGTTCCATCAACTAAAATTCATTCTTGTTTTACTCGTCATTTAGCTAAGTCTCATTCGTTTACTGTATCTGTCCCTGCATGCTCTAAAAACTTTTATTCATCTAGTTTTTTCCCCGCACTTCAATCCTTTGGAACTCTCTCCCATCTTCATGTTTTCCTGACTCATACAACCTTCAACTTTTCAAGTCTTCTATCAACCGTTTCCTTGCTCTATAACTCTGTTCTTTTTTTCCTAGTAACTCCCAACTTAATAGTGGTTGCTTGCACCCTTTTTGGGAGTAAATGCAAATTAAAAAAAAAAAATATATATATATATATATATATATATATATATATATATATATATATATATATGAGTGCACAAGCAATTAAAAGCTGCTGTTGTATTGGTTTTGTAATCCTGTGCTGAGCTAAGTATTGCATCATCATTGATAAAAAATCCTCGATGATTATTGCTAAAAAATCTTAATTAAATGACGCAACTTATTAGGTTATGACTTATTTAAAATGCTGGCAGATGTACCAATTGGATTAATAGCTGTAACTAGATTGAAAAAAAAAATTGATTGTTTTCACTCACAAACTCATGGCGGCCATGTTTATCTCTTAACGACTATAAACAAACCTCATAGAAAAAAAAAAAGTCTTTTATATTTTTTGTTTGAATACAAAAGAAAATTATAATAACAAATTAAAAAACAAAAAACTAGTACTGAGATGTTTCAAAAAAATTTTTATTGATAAATTTAGTTTAAAAAATCATATTACCTTTATTTATTAGAATAGTATTAAAAATGACAGAAGTTATGAATTTAAAACATAATTTTATTTATACTTTATGCAGGGTTCACACTATACTCATTTTATTGTAATTCTTTTTTAAAAATATTTGTTTACATAAAAATAAATTACTTGTGTAGATAAATAAAACTAAATACATAATAAGATTGTGTTTGAAACTTTCTGTATACTGTTTAATCAAACGGTATTATTAAAGGGCATTTATTAAATTATTATCAAAAGATGTAAATTTACCAAACAACAACATACTTTCACAATTTTATCAATAGTAGGTTTCTGGTCAGCCTTTTTTTTTTCAAGAATTTCAATGGAATGGTACGTTGTAATATGGCAAACTTTCTTTTTACAAGACCAATTATCCATTATACGTGTATTCTAACAGAGGCAATCCTTCGAGTATTTCTATTTATATTGGGTGGAGTTGCTTTTTTCCCGAGTAAAATCAGGAATGGCAAGTTTCGCTCTGTAAAACTGGACTTCTTCATTTATTTTAAATCCTCTATCTGCCATCACAATATCTTCTAACAACAAATTATTAAAAAGACCGCTTTCTTCAATAAATGTTTGTCTGATGATCGTCGACCACAATCTTCAGAAATAAAGCTGAAGGTGCCTTGGGGTGTAATACATATCAAAAATTTCACTGTCTGGTTATGTTTATATTGCGAGTAAATGTAAATCTGATTTGTTCTGTAAAAGCTTCTGTGCACTGTTGCTACTGATACTTCTAATTGATTTGCAATATATTGGAATTCGTAATTCATTTTAGTTTCAATTAGAAATATTAGGAATTCTTGTTCTTTTGTCAGGGATATTGTTGAATCTGTCTTATGTGGACTGATGTAATCCCTGAAAACAAAATCAAAAACTGCAAATGTTGGCAAACCTGTATAAAAACTGACTACATGGTTATTTTTTACATAATATTCTCTTTCCTATATTGATAGAAATATTCTTTTCTTTGAAGATTCAACAACTCTTAAGTTATAATCCTTATACATACTATTGAGCTCTAGAAGAGTTACATCTGTCTGTACAGAAACTCCAGTAGAAAAGCTACTTTCAGTATCGTGGTTATGTAGTTCTTCACCTCCTATATGAACTTCGATTTCTTCATTAACACTTAAAACATATTCACTCGATTCTTTAGTTTTTATTCTTTTACAAGCAGTAGAAGTGGAAAATTCATCAGCAAACTTTTTGTTTTGAGTAGTCAGTCTTAAATATGTTAATACAAAGCTTTGTCTCCCTGATTCGTTATTACGGCTGGTACACTAAAAAAACGTACTTTCAATTCTTCTGGGACATTTTTTGAGACATATTTCTATTACTACGACCATAAATTAAACAAATAGGCACAATGAAGGCGTTTTATATCAAATAGTCGGAGGGTACTGTGTTGGTTTACTGTCGTTACAGAGTTGTTTGAGTATAAATATGACCGCCGAAGTCGACTGCAATCTGATGACGTCACGTCAAAACGACTAATTGCAAAAAAGCTGTTAAATGACAATAGATTAAACCAATATCTATAGATTTTATTATATATATATATTATATATATCACATAACCTGCTTGTAGTCGCAACTAAAGTTTTATTAAACTATTTAAAGTTTTATTAAATTATTTATTAAATTTAAAAATTATATACTTATGTATTAAATTATGATTACATATTATATTATATGATTATTAAGTTACTTATAATTTAAAAATTTATTAAATTTCTAGTTTCTTTTAATTCAGCAAAACCATTGAAAAGAAAGACTTGACGCGATATTTTGTCTTTAAAAAAATTTTGAACTTCTCTGAAAACTTTTGTTTTTAAAATGGCCTCGTAATTAGCTTTAATCAATTTATTTTATTTAATAAAAAAGGTTAGAGGTATGACTTTCCTAATTAAAAAGCATTTCTACGGTGTTCTGTAATATGACCGTAATGTTTTGGGATCCTAAAACAAATCTAAAAATAAAATAAATTTCAAAAAATGAGCGCAGCAAAAATAATTTAACTTATTTTGCTGTATTTGAATAGTAGCGAAATTGTCCCGCTACCAACTTAAAAGTGTTTTTCTATATTCGAATTGTAGCGATATAATCTTGCACCTTGATGGAGAGTCCTGATGTAGCGGTGGTGGAGAGAAGAAGATTAAGTTGTAAATACATAAAAATACGGGGCAACTGAATAAGCGCGAATTTCATAAGTGTGAATTGGCATAAAAGCGAATAGCGTAAGTGCGCCAAAAATATTTGCAAACATTGGCATAAATACAAATTGGCATAAGTGCAAACTGTCATAAGTGCAAATCAGTTACAAAAACTGGCACATGTGCAAACTGGTGTGAGTTTTGAACTAGCATAAGTGCGCCAAAAGAATTTGCAAACATTGGCATGAGTGCGAATTGGCATAATTCGAAATGGTATAAGTGAGAAGCATTTACAAAAACTCGCATAAGCGCGAACTGGCATGAGTGCGAATTGGAATAAGTGCGCTATTGCGTTAATATTTGCAAATTTATTCGGTGCACTTATGCCATATTGCACTTATGCTAGTTCGCACTAATGTCATTTTTTGCAACTGCATTGCACTTTTGCCGGTTTGCCCATATGCCAGTTCGCACTTGTGCCAGTTCGCACTTATGCATGTTCGCACATATGCCAGTTCGCACTTATACCAATTCAAATGTTTGTAAATATATTCGGCGCACTTAAACTATTCAGTTTGCTCTTGTGCCTGATTTTGCAACTGCTTCACACTTATGCCAGTTTGCACTATGTCAATGTTTGCAAATATTTTTAGCGCACTTACGCTAAATCGCACATATGCCAGTTTTTGCAACGCTTCGCACTTATGCCAATTCGTACTTATGAAATTTGCACTTATTCTGCCTCCCGACAAATACATGTTAATTTATATATGAATAAACATGTTTAAGTTTATATAAAATTTAATAATTTTATTTATACGCAAAACCCAGAAAGTTTTTAACTAACTTTTAACATTCGTTTAAAGACTAAGAGCATTCACTTTTATTAAAATTTACTCGGATTTTTTTAGTAGTTTAAGTTTAAGATATCCTCAGTTTATTACTACAGCTTGTCATTAAAATGGAATGGTAACAAAACCATTTATATAAAAACTAATCTTTTAAACGATTATTCTCTAGCAGAGAAATGAAAAGACAGAAGCTTAAAAGCTTATAAATGAATTTTCGTCAATGCTGTTTTTTGTTACAACAAATGATTTTTTTAATTGTTGAATCAAAGAAGTATTTTGCATAATAAGATCAGATTAAAAAAAAAAACATAATGATAATAAAATAGTAAAAACACTTTTCTAATTGAAATATTACCAATGGAAAAACACAATTTGCAAATTAACAGGACTAATGATGTGGCAAATGCCTTCACACTGAAAAATTGATTTTACTTAAGTTCTTCCTTTATGTTGTATGGCAGTGTTTTATTTTCTTAATTATTTTTGTTATTTGTTGTTAAGTATAAATAATGCTTAGGTCAATCACAAGTTCGTATTGCTCGGGCGTGTGAAAACAGCGATCTAAAAATTGATTGCAACGGCCACGGAACAATTGAAATAGTCAGTGCAAATTACGGTAGAACATTGTCTGGTGTTTGTCCTGGTGCACAAGACACAAATATAAATTGTAACAACCAGAAAATATCAGTTGAGATTGTTAACAAAAGTTGTGCAACAAAAACTTCGTGCGTTGTTCATGCTTCCAATGGAGTTTTTGGTGATCCATGCGTAGGAACTTACAAGTACCTCGAAGTGCAATATCGTTGTAGAAGACACGATGTTTATTATGCATGAGTAAAAAAACTGTAAAGTTAATTATTGTATCATTAATAAAATATCAGTTTCAAAATAAAAGTTTCTTTTTTATCTTTTTTTTTCAAACTTAATTGATATAAACTCTCATATCTTGCCAGTTTTTTACTTTTCCGTTAGAGACTATACTTTACCATTATGTTTTAAACAGTTTATAAGCATAAATGCAAACTGGCATAAGTGTGCTAAACGGAATTTGTTAATATTGGCATAATTGCGAACTGGTATAAATGCGAATTGGTATAGGTAAGAAGCGCCAGTTTGCACTTATGTAACACTTGCAATTTTATTTGGCGCACTAATGCCAATTTGCACTTTTTCCAGTTTGCACTTATGCCAATTTGCACTTATGCCAATGTATTATGCTTAACAGACTATACTTTACCATTATGTTTTAAAAGTATATTTTAAATAAAAGTACCGTTAAAAGTACATGTATCGAAATTATCGACTGAGAGTTTTAGCGTTGGGAATTTCGGCCTCGCTTTATTTGGAATCAATGACGCCTGTTTTTAAATTACCAAGTAATTTAAAAAAAAGTTCGGTATAATTAATATTATTTTATATTTTATTTTGTTATTATAAGCAGAAACTTTTATTTTCAAATAATACACAAAACTGTTATTATTATTATAGTTGTAGCCGTAAAATATACATACCATATATACATACAGCGAGCAGGGAAAACACCCTACTATAAACAACCAGTTTTATAAATATTCGTTCCAAATTTTATCCTCAACCAGTTATCTAATCTAATTTTAAAAAAAAGGTACAGTGGAGTATAAAGTTACTTGCTCGGGTAGTTCATTCCAGTATTTTACTGATCTATTATATAATTGGTTGTGTCTTGGAAGACAGTTTAGAACATATTCATGTCTTATTTTAAGATGGCGACCACGTGACAATGAGTTAATAAATTTTGGTTGATATATATTATTAATTATATCAAGTTGATGTATTAGTTTAAAAATTTGTATTAGATCGCATCGTAGGCGCCGAAAAATAATACACAGAACTAAAACGCTAAAACGTTCTACATGATACATTTTCTTGACCAATGTCATCGATGTGGTAGTGTATTTATAGTATAGTTACGTACAAATATTGAATAGTTAAAACGTTAGTTAAACGTTAGTTAGATTTGTTTTAAACGCGCATTTTAAACGATTTTTATTGGCTAAATTAACTTTGACTATTTAATAGATAGGAAAAGGAAAAAATAATCACGTGAGCATGCGTAGTTTTCTTTCGGACATATTAAAACTTATACTACGCATGCCCACGTGATTATTTTTCCCGTCCCTTTCCCGTTCCTGTAAAAAAACGGATAAGTATAAACTCGCCTTGAAACTTGATTTTGTCAGTGGTGTCATCTTTTTCCATGCCATAGGCCAAAATTTGTTTTAAGAAAGAAAAAGTTATAATAAACTTATTTAAATTTGCAGTTTTGAATCAAGTTTTGATATTTTGAACAAGATTTTTTATGCTAAATATTTTACTTATCGACCATGATATTGAGTTTTTAATTTTAATCATTAGATTTTGCAAAAAATTATTAAAGAGTGCAGTAACCCTTGATATTTAATAAAAATTTTAATTCATTAACCCCTTTTTCATTAACCTCTTTTTTTTTCAAAATTTGTTAGGAAAATCAAAAAATATATTTATTTGGTGTTCTAAACTGCCTAATTTTTCAAAAACGATCACACTATCCTTCCCCCTAATAATAATGTTCGTCGATTAACTCTAGTTTAACCAAGAAATTATAATAGATTGGTGGGAGAATGAAAAAAATAATCTTTTATATTCGTAGTACAGTCTATGCGATAATTTCTTAAGTATGAAGCGTTGTAAAAACTGCCATAAGTACGAATAGGCATAAGTGCGCCGATTAAATTTGCAAACATTTGAATAAGTGCGAATCGGTATAAGTGCGAAGCAGTTACAAAAACTGGCATAAGTGCAAACCAGCATAAGTGTGAATTGACATAAATGGGCCGAATAAATTCGAAAACATTGGCATAAGTGCAAATTGGCATAAGTGCAAACTGGAAAAAGTGCAAATTGGCATTAGTGCGCCAAATAAAATTGCAAGTGTTACATAAGTGCAAACTGGCGCTTCTTACCTATACCAATTCGCATTTATACCAGTTCGCAATTATGCCAATATTAACAAATTCCGTTTAGCACACTTATGCCAGTTTGCATTTATGCTTATTTGCACTTATGTCAGTTTTTGCAACTGCTTTGCACTTATGCCAGTTTGCACTAATACCGATGTTAACAAATTTTTTTGGCGCACTTATGCTAATTTGCACTTATATCAGTTTTTGCAGCTGCTTCCTAATTATGCCAGCTCGCACTTATGCCATATCGCACTTTTGCTGATAATTTTAAATTCTTTAGACGCACTTATGCCAGTTTTTACTTGAGCCAGTTTTTGTAACTTCTTTGGACTTATGTTAGTTCGCATTTATGACAGTTTTCACATATGCCAATGTTTGAAAATTCTTTTGACGCACTTTTTACAGTTCGCATTTGTGCCAGTTTTTGTAACTGCTTCGTACTTATGCCAGTTTACAATTATGCCAACCCGGACTTCGCACTTATGAAATTTGCTTATTGAGTAGTTTAAAATGGCGCATTTGCCTTAAAAATGGAAAATTTTGAAATGTAGTTTGTAAGCTGTAATCAAAATGGATTACTCTCTTAAAAGTTGACTGAATAAGTTTTTAACAACTGTTCCAAATATCAAGAAGTAATCACAACCAAAATCATGATCTTCGTAAAGTAATCGTTTTTTGAATACCTCAATACTAGGTATAAAAATCAAAGTTTTAGACATTCTCTACTACTTGGTTGAACCTTATCTTTTGCTTCCCCGTTTAGCTATAGGTTTTTTACGTTCTTAAAGAACGTTTTTTTGTTAAGTAACTTATCAAACCATGGGTTTTGGCGTAAAGCACAAAAAATTGGTTTGATGTGCGAGTCACCAACCCAAATTTACTATCACAAATAGAATTATCTATAGATAAAATATATACCAAAAACGAAAATACATAAAAAAATAAAAGTTATAACGAAAAAGTTATAAATATCGAAGACGGAAGCTTTACACCACTTATGTTCTCCATAACCGGTGGAATGGATCCAAAATGCACGATGTACCACAAACATCTAGCGGACAAATAGCTTGAAAGATACGATAAAATTTTAACTTATATTAGAGTTAAGCTCTCTTTTATTATACTGATATGAGCTCTTCTTTCCTTACGCGGTTCGAGGTCGCTGACGTCAAAAATTCTCTCCAATGTAACGGAAAATTTCGGATTGGTGTGAGACAATTTAAAAATTATATAAATTTTTTTCCTTTATACATTTATTAATTTATACATTGTATTTAGAGTTCTTTCCAAATAGATTGCGATCAAAAGAAATATTTTTTTAAATTTAAAATAAAAAAAAAAGAAAATGTGTTGCGTTGCAAAATTGGATACCCCATCACCCTATAACATTCATCACAAAAGCACCGACCTCAACCCCCGCCCCACTCCTCGTTCCAATTGCGTGATTTAATTTGTGAACGACCCCGATTACAGCTAATTTCTATATAATGTCTTCACAAAATATCTTCTATTTAGTTTTTAAAAGATCTCCATTTCGGAGAACATTTTCACAATCTAGACTAATTTTTCGCGAATAGTTCGCAAAAGAAAACTTATTTTAACTAACCGGAAAAGAAAATATTTACTTCCAACATTTAAAATGACATATGGTGATAATAAAAATCTTTAAGACAAAACAAAGATGACATCATGAAAACTTGTTTTTTCCGTTAAATAATGATCTTCAAACCTAGCACTTGGAGACCACTATTTAACAAAAAAAAAAGTATTTTTGGGAGCAGATTTTAGTGGCTCGTGATATAAAATCTTTATAATAAAACTCTAGTAATAAGGGTTTATGTTATATATTGAGTTTAATATGTTTGTGAATTATTTCTAAATAATTATAAGTATATTAGTACATAATTGTATTATATAAGTATTTAATATAAGTTATAGTATAATAAGTATATTAGTATATAAACCATTAAAAAAATCTTTGATATTCTTGGAATTCTTAGGAATGTTCTTTTTGCAAATGTTGACTTTTTCAAGCAAATTATATCCAGTCTAAAATACCCAAAATTTATTTAGCTATTTAGCTATTTAGCTTTTTTTAAAACTGTTTTGCTCTTTATGACTTCTTTGTTTTTTATAATGCTCCATTGAATATATTTTATTGAAACTAATTGTTTTAATGACTTTTCCTGAAGCTGTAAAAAGTAGGTGTTTAAATCTTAAAAAATATATTCAAATACTAATAAAGTTGTTAATAAAGCTTAAATAATTTTTTTTTAATAATTGAAATTTATTTTTATGTCAAACTTCCTAATATTTTGTAAAAACTTATTTTGTATTATTGTATTCACTCATATATCACTAGGATAATTAATATATGTGAAATGCCTTACTAAAATTACTATGATTCATAGATAACATTTATCGTCAAGATAATTTTTTTATAAACATTTGACTAGCAGAAGCAGATCTAGGGGACGTCTGGTACGTCTGTGGACGTACCCAAAAATTTTAGAAATATAATTTTGGTCTGAGAAAAAAAAGGGTAATGCTCAAATAATGTTACCAATAAAATATACTACATTGCAAATTATATTTTTTTGTTATAATTAATATTGCAGTTTTGTTGAATCGGGTTAAAATTATAGTCAGTTGAATTTATAGCATAACGGGTTCTTGCTTAAACTTTAAGCAAGAACCCGTTATGCTAAAAATTTAACTGACTTTAATTTTAACCCGATTCAACAAAACTGCAATACTAATTATAACATTAAAAAAAATAACAACTGTTTTCATTTTATAGTGAAATAAATTTGTTAATTTTGGATTTAATTTGTTAACAAAATTATTAACAGAACTCTTTATTTAAAATAAATTTTGGACGTCCCTTTCCTAAGTAAAATATTTATTAAAGTC